TATATATATATATATATATATATATATATATATATATATCAAAATTAAATAAATGAACTTGAATTAAAATATCAATATATCAAAGTAATTTATAATCATTATATTATATTATCATTTATTGTATTATTAGATTATTATTTATAAAAAAAATTTATAATATTTTAGAATTTACAATAAAAATGAGAATAAAAATTCGAAGAAAGAGATTATCATTGATAAAATGATTTTATTTAAAAGAAGTAAAGCTAAAATATTTTATCATCAGATATTTACAAATGAGTCTTTTACCCATCTATTTGTTCAGTACCATAAAGAAAAAGTTAAGTTTTTCAATGTTTTATTCGTTTAATCATAGGAACATATTTATTTATTAAAAAAATTTAGGCAATTTATATGATTTCTAATATAATATTCTGCAAGCTAATATCTACCATATGCATATTAATTTTTTTATAAATTCAAATGCAAATAAACGATAAATTAAGGTTAACTCCTCACCTTATGAATTAACCCTTTTGGTATCAACGATGGCAGTATAAGAAGAATTGTAGCTTTTACGAAAAAAAAGTAAAACGAACGGATGATTGCACACCAAGTCTTCGTAGTATTCTGATAGATATCGTGGAGGGTACAATTGTATCCAGCGAGGGCGCTTTATAGGAAACCATCATCGCGCCGACTCCGAAAAGTCTGCAAATCCACTGTCAAACTATAACTCATGGAAGGGATGTCATCGATCGAACGCATATAAGGTCCATGCCCTGTAAGTAACATCCCCTTACTATTTTTTATAGCAGGATGAATACATAAGTACATTTGAATGAGAACTTCGGATTAATGAATTATGATGTTAGATTTGTACTATATATATAATGTTAGATTAATACTATATTACTATTTATAGCTATTATAGTTTTATCTAGAATATATTATTTCTCATATTAGTCTCTTTGATATGAATTTTATTGAATATTATATTTTATAATTATTGACATGCAAATATAATTAAATTATGAATTTTTAACCTTTTATTTTAAGCTGAGATTTTTGATTATCGAAAACAAGTAGCAATGATTTTTCTTGATTCTTGATATAAACGAATAAAATAATATTAAAAAATATACACATATTTTGAAAACTGTAAAGTAATATATCGAATTTAATTTCATAGTTTTTGAAATTTTCAAAATAATATTTACAATATATAATCTATTCAAATATTTAAAAATTATTTATGTATATAAAGTGATTAGAAATCAAAAAATTAAATGGTAAAATATAATGAAATATATAGGCATCAAATATTTTATAGATATACTAATCTTGAATTAATATTGAAAAATATATATTGAAAAATAATTTGTAAATCAATATTATGTATATAATTTTTCAATAAAAAAAATTAAGTCTTCGTTATCTCAATTATGGCATTTATATTGTGCGCCAAGAATAAAATAAGGAAAACAAATCAAAGATATAAGATAAAAATATTGAAATCAGCGCCATCTACAGAATATAAAATAAAAAAAAGAACAAATACAAGAACAAATACAAGAAAAAGAATAAAGATACAGTTGAAGAATTGATCAATAGCGCTATCTTTTGAGTGTTTGAAAAGTTTGAGTTTTGAAAAGACTTTTCATTTTTTGAATATTTTTGAAAAGATATTTTTAATACTCAAGAAATAATACTGACAATCAATTCTTATTTATTTCTTTCTCTCTCTATATTTTTTCCACTATTTGCAATTGTAGAAATTTTCTTTATATGGCATTGATATCAATATTTTTACTCTATCTTTGTTTTTTTTTCCACAGTTTGCTTTTCTTGTTTATATTTCTTCTATAAAATTTATGCATTTAAGAGACAACATCAATATCTGATTTTCGATTCAATTTTTATATATCTTACATATAATTTCATATTAAAATTTAATTTTATTTTCAACCATCACTAATATTATTTAATTCTATAACAATATTAAAATAGTAAAGAAGCACTGAAATCCTTTAAATAAAAAAACTGTTAAATAATAATAATATTAATTAAATTTTAGATTTATTTTATATCTTATTTATCATAAAAGGAGTAATAATAATTTGATTTTTGTTCAAATATTTTCAATTTTCATTAAAAAGAAATAAAATTATATTTATTACATATTAAACATGCAAATATTACAATAATTCATTTCAGTCAACCCAAATAGATTTCCTTTTCTTGCAATATATTATTTTTTAATAGAACACTTTATTCAATACTGTTGAATGCTGATGAGGAATTCTGTTGTTAAAGTGAATTTTTACATTGACATCAAAAACCTGAAATTTTTAGAAATAATTTTAAAAATAAATTTATAAGATGTATAATATACATATTATAATTTTATATTCGTATATACTCATTATTCTTTTTCGCCTTCAAGTTGATAATGATAACGTCGTAAAGCGGCTAAGCGTAATCTTTCAGTCTCCAATGCTTGTTCCAATTCCAATACACGTACTTGTGCTTCCATTTCTAGTCGTTTAGCTTGATGTAAACGTAATCCAGAAATATCTAAATCATCTGTAAAATATTAACAACATTAATTTTTTATTGAAAAAATAAATAAAAATAAATTTTAAATAACAAAATTACCATTTTCTTCAATAAGTTGACTACAGTTTTTAGCAGTTGCAACAACACTTCCTGTTGCTTGCGTGACATCTCTTGATGCTTCAGAAAGAGCAGTTAAATTATTACTATTTCTACTAGCTTTTACTCTACTTGCAACTACTAGTTGTGCTGTAGATGCAGCAATCCCTTGCGATGCAACTACTAATTGTTCAAATTTACCATTTCCAGCAACAACTTTATCAGCAGCTTCTCTGCGAATAATAATTAATTTTATAAACAAATAAAAATTGCAATAAACTGTTTCTACTTACAACAAGAGATTAGCACCCATTGCAACTGCTTTTGCTGCTGATATAAGTCCTTCAGACCATTGATGGTTACGTTTATAAAATTCCGTTGCAGAGGCAGTGCCCTAAAATTTAAAATAAATTTTTTTTTTCTATTTCCCTGCGGGCGCGCATATATATTGCAATATTTATATAAAACATTATATTGAATATTTTTACTTTTCCTTGTTCTACAATTTCTGCTTGCAACAATCGTGATTTTTTAACTAATTTTCTTATACATTTCATTAATTCTGTACATGAATCTAGAATTTTCCCATTTACTTCTAATTTTAAACCTGAATCCGCTGCACGAGATTTCTCCAACATATCCTATTTTAACGGTGTAAAATTATTATTAATTTATATTATAAATATGGAATTTAACAATTATTACTAAAATATATAAGATACTAAAATATAAAAGACAATTACTTGTATTCTATTTGCAGCTTCTTCTATTGCTTTATCCATGCTTAATAATTCCGTTTCTACCAAACTGCCGATAACTTCAACATTGCCTTGTATAGTAGATAATGTAATAGCAATTTCGCATACTTTCTTGAAGTGTTGTTTTACTTCATTGATTTGACCCATAGTCACTGGTGATTTATCTCTTATGTGATTAAACATAGATAATGATTGTAATCCTAACTGTTTACATTCATCAGTGAATTCTAAAACATAATAATAAGTAAATATATATTTTTAACATTTGAAACTTATTTTTAACATCTGAAACTTACTGTCACCTAACGCAATATCAATAGATGTATTGGATGTAGATTTAGCATGAATAATATAAAGTCCTAAAATATATGCAACATGTATTGCATTTTTAATTAACACTTTTCCATTTGTTGTATCACATACATAGCCAGTGTATGCAGCATCTAAAGCATCTAATGATTTCAAAATCGGATCTTCTAATTTTTCAAGATATTGAGGTGTACAAGTTAAATCTGACATTGCAGGATTGTCAATAGTACTCAATGAATACTGCATAATATCTTCAGCTTTGAAAATACAATTTACTGAAATAAAAATTCTTTGTTATTGATAAATAAACATAAATTTTTTCTTACTATTAGATAAAATAAAGCACTTACATAACAATTCATGCAATGTGGTATCAGCATATGTATTCATTTCACTACGACATCGTTCAACTTCAACTTCTAATTTTTCAATTTTTAAATCTAATTCTTCTTTCTGTGCTAATAAATCGTGTATATCCCCTTCTAAAGCCATTTTTTCAGAAGTTATAAAATCATTTTTGGCAATCAAAGCCTAAAATATTATATCTTTACCGGAACGAAATTAAAAAAAATATAAACATAAACTGATGAAAAGAAAGAAAGATATTAACCAAGTTTTCAGTTTTCGCGTCATTTAATTGTTGTTTTACATCATCCAAATCGTGTTGAGCTTCAACGGTTTTTTTTCTTTCTTGTTCTGTTATAGTTTGGCCTTGTATTAATTCTTCAAGTCGACGTTCTGCTTCAGTTGTTCGTCGCTCAGATTGTTCTTGTGACATTTTCAACATTCCTAATTGCTTATCTACTTCAACTTTCTATAAAAAAAAATAAATTCAAATTCAAAATTTATTCAAAATTTATATTCAACATTCCATATTATTTTTTTAAAATTTAAAATAATTTTACCTTTCTAATTAAATTGATATGTTCATCTCTAAATTTTGCATATGCATCTTTTAATTTTTGAAATTTTTCTTGCAAAATCTTATACTTTTCTAAAAAGAGAAAAAAATTACATTATGTATATACTAATAATAACGAACAACAATAACAACAATAATAATGCAAAAATATAATAAAACAAAAATGGAACATTCTAACCTTCACTTTCATGAACTTTCATCATCATATCTGCTTTTTGTTTAATAAAATCTTGATTAATTTGCTTTTCTTGTTCAATTTCATTACACTACAAAATTAAAATATATATTTATTAAAATTTACAATAAAATTATGCTATAATAATTAAAATTAATAATTAAAATATTTTTACCTTAACAAGTAAATCCGATTTCAATTGAGTAACATGAATTTGAAGTTCTTCAACAATTCGTTGATGATCAGTTAATACACGATGTAATTCTTGTCTTTGATGATTGTTTTCTTGCTGCAAATGATCGATGAGACTTTCTCTAAAATAATAAATGATCAGCTCATGTAACTTTTACATTTTAAATAAATATCATATAACTAATTTCTAAATTATACCTTTCTGCTATTGCATCAGGTGAAATCGAACCATTACGCGTAGAATCTAACTGATCACCTGGTAATGAATTGGTATCAGAAGTATCAATAAGACTATCAACAACAACTTCAGAGTCTAAAGATTCTTCTGGTGGTAAAACTACTATTGGTGTAACATAAGTTCGTAATTCAGATTGTACTAAAAAGTTTGGTGGGTTCTAAAACAAATATATATATTATAAATCATATATAATCTATTATATTACAAATAATAATAATTCGTATCAAGAAGACAATATTTACCTCAGGTAACGTAGGAATTGTTATAAGATGTTTAAAATACTGTCTTTGTTTAACAGTATTATAAAACCTTTTTAATTCTTGGAACTGTTTAGAAAATCTATCGCGATGTCCAGCTAAGGTATCCGCAGGTAAAGTGTTATGAAGTTTAAATAGAATTTTTACACAATAATCATAAAGCTGTGATGCGTCTAAAACGCATGGAATTAGCGGAGCCAGCCGACACTGTCCACTGACAGTCATGGAATTTGAGGGTGTATTCTTCAAAGAAGTAGTAACTGAAATATTTCATTTATATAAATTAATATTGGTACAAATCTTTATTACCGACTTGAAAAAATTTTTAAAGAGATTTTGATAAGAAGTGGTTATTAAAAGCGATATCCCCGGTTTCCATGATACATAAGATGATGAAATAAATATATCTGGAACGATCAGTTTAATTGCACCTATTTAATTATTTGTGAAGATCGCAAATATCATTCTCTTTTTGCAATTTTTATTGAATCTAATAAAAAACACAAATCCTTTTGCAGCAGATTTTTCATCGGTAATTCACGAAATAAAGAAATATTACCGTCGTGTAAATTGTTCTGTTCATCCGTCAATGACGCCTCCGTTCATATATTCAGCATGCAGATCTCGATTTAACCGGTCTGCCTTGGTTGAGTTCGATCTGGATAATCGAGATTCTAGCAGATTAATTACGTCAAAATGGCAAAATCTAAATTGATACCGTGCTATTTTCGTTTCACAAGTACGATGAGTACTTTCACACCAAGAAACTACTATAATACAATTGATAAAAAAAAATAATAATAACGTATCGGAGGCTGTTACTCGTGCAAAGCGTCTGTCAGCAGAAAGTATAAGAAGGATAATCTGCTTCTTAATCAATACAAAGTCAAAAACTTGAGCAATTCAAAAAGCATAGTGATATACAAGAATCTAATCCGTACCTACCTGCACGTTGTAAATTCAAAATATCATCCATGTAATCAAACATTTCAACCGACATTTGGAAGCTAAATACAAAAAATACATATATTTATATATTTATATATATATATATATATATAAAATATATGATTTAATTTAATTAGAAAATATAATAGAAAATATTCAAAATTATCGGATTAAAAACTTACTAAATATTGATATCATTTTCTCCGATTGATTTAAGTTCCTCTGATGTTACTTGAAGATTTCCGGGTATACGTGGATTTCTCTTATGAAAATCTAACTTTGTGATCAGTAATCTTATATACAATTGAATTAATGGACCATATCCTTCCCGCAAATGTTGCCATAATTTTCCAAGATCTTCCAATCTTCCGCGATATCTTTGGGAATCCGGAATCACTTTTTCATGACCTTCTCGCAATATTTTGTGCAGCACATGACAAAATTTCCACGCGACAATTTGATTCTCTTGTAATGGCTGTCGTAACATATACAGCCAAAATACCATTCCACCTTTTTCTTGATGTGTACCTATAATAGCACCTACATTTCTTAAGGTATATATACTATATATATATTCTCAAAAAAAATTTTTCAAATTCTAATATGATTAATAATATGATTTTAATATGATTAATAATATATTTTATAAAACATAATAATTATAGAACAAAAGAATTTTTTGTTAAAAAGGATACTTCGTACATGTTTTTCTTTTACAGGTGTTTCTGTAGGATTTACAGCTTTTCCTATAGAGATGCTCTAAAATTCAAACAAAATTTTTTTATATCAAATTATTATAAATTTGATTTTTTAAAACATTTTTCAAGTTTTTAAAAAAGCTTTTTAAAATCTTCCTATGATATTCATTTACCAACTGGTGAAGTTGTTTATCAGTGAGTGGAACGACACTCGTCATGATAATAGTATACAATAGCTGCGGTAGAAATTAAAATACGTGTAAATCTTAATTGTCAATCCATATGAAAAATCATCATTTCACCAATTCATCAATCATGTCAAAATGCGTTAAATAAACACATTTAACAATGTTATATTCCACATCTCCTGAAAAATTACATATAATTTTTATGATTCATGATGAAGGATGAAATAATGTTTAATAAAACGAAGGATAAAACAAATTATTGCATAATACTAATTATAATAATATTATATATTATCTATTATATATTATATATTATATATTATATATTATCTATATTATAATAATAATTATAATATAGATATAATTATAATAAATAGTTTTAAATACTATATATTTATTATTTCATTAAGTTTGTTATTTATTAATATGTATTTAATATGTATTTTAGAAATGTAAATAATATTTATTATAAAAGAATTGAAACTCTTATAATTTCAATCATTAAATGAAATTGAAATATTGAATCAATAGTTTATCTTATATGGCATGCTTAAAACTATTTAATTTTATTAAAGATAAAATATTGAAATATTTTTCCAAAGAAATCATGATCTTATAAATAAAATCCTATTATAAATTATTAAAAAATATTTACTTTCGAATTTTAAAAAAATTTCTAATATCTGAAAAAAACGAAAATTATGACATTTTTAAATATGAATTAAAAAATTTTTAACTGTAATTTTGATTGTTTTTTGTAATTTTTATCACAAAAGAATTTTACTTCTTTTAAATTGTTAGATATTTTTTAATTTTTTACTTGAAATAACACTTGAAATAATTTATTATTGAAACAAAAATGCAAAATTATAATACACTGCAAAGTATAGAATAATAAATCAGAAAATTTTGAAAATTTTTTTAAATTATTAGTTTCCAAATTTTTTGTTTTAATGTCGATAAAATACATATTTTTTCAATCTCGGAAGTCTAAATGATGGGTCTTTTATGTTCATTAACTCTTCCGAGTGGTGTCACCGTTCCAGTACTATTAACGATGCCTTGTGCCAGAAAGAGTGTCGCTATACAGTTACGTTCATTCAGAAAGTATTTCACTAGTTGCACTTGTGTATTTAAATGAATGGGTGAGATGTGCATATTATAGGATGACATGTAAGTCAAAGACCCTGCGTATTGCAACTATAGCAAGAAAAACAAAGATAACGACCGAAATAAATGTAATGAATGACATTCGATATTTTGACATGCAATTAGAATTTAATTATGATTAATAATTAATATAAATATAAACAATAAGTATCGTTGAAAAATATTGATATAAAAATAATTAAATAAATTGATTCAAAATATTAGTTATTATGTATATAACTACAATTATAATTGAATGCTGATAATTATGGTATGTAAAATATATAAAAGATATATTCAATTTTTCATTATTCATATTCATATTTTTATTTATATTCATATTTAAGAAAATATGATTAGCTTTTTTCATATTTCTTAAAATTTTATTACAAAATAATAATAATAATTTAAGAATATAGAAAATCTAATTCAATTTAAATTCATAGTGAAATCCATAAAGATTATATTAAATTATTTTTTTAATTTTTCATAAATTGTTAAGAATTTAAATTACATATATTTATTTTTTTTTAAATTTTCATTAAAAAATAATAATATAAATATAATTGTATTTAAAAAAAATAAAAATAATTATTAAATTTTAAATTTCTTATATACATAACATTTAACTAATTTAATTATTATAAGTAATTCATATATATAAATTCGTATAACATTTCTTATGAATTTTATATAACATGAACATTTATAAATATTATTAAAATTCAAATATGCGTAAATAAATAAAATCACATAAAAGCAAATAAATAAATAATCAAAGTTAATATGTAAATTTTTCTANTATTCTTTATTAATAGGAACAAATTTATAAAAAAATTATTAAATATACATATCTATATATATATATAAAAAAAATCAAAGAACAGTTTCTTATTCGTTCGTGATATCAGATTTTTTTTTAAATTATAATATGATTATGTGTGATATTATATTATAAATATTAATATTAAACAATATTTCAAATATTTTTTCAAATAAGTTTAAAAATTATATATCGAAATATAAATGTCAATAATTAAATATTGCTAATATGTACAATGTTATAATAAACACATTTCCTAACCTATAAAAGGCATTGAAACAATATACGAATTGGAATGAGGTCAAGAACCTCATTTTCATAGTATATGTTTAGTTTTGATAATTTTAAATATTTAAATGTTTTAAAATTAAAGCACTTTTATAATACTTTTACTTAAGTGACGAATATATAACCTTATGCTCATTTGAAAAATCATATATTTAAATACTTATTTTACAAATACAATATGTAAATAAATAAAAATTCATATTACATACCTAAAATTATTCCAACAATTTATGTCATTAAATCCAAATCTGTACTTTGTTAAAAAACATGTAATTCTATTAAACTCATTACTTCGTCAATACACGAATTGTTTCAAAAGATTACGTAGCATAGATCCGGCTATGATAAACGGAAACTTCATAAATGCGCACTAACACTTTTTTTAAATATTAATGCTTTTAACTTTGAAAAGTGCGGCAAATAATTAATGAATTATTCTAACTGACTTTTTTTAATTAATAATTATGTTAAAACTGCATCGATATGTAAATGCATGGATTCAACGATTAGATATGATAGATAAATATTAAAGATAACAATAAAAAAATTAAAAAATGACAAATAATGTTATTAATAAACAAATCGAAATTTGTACCAAATACGAAATAAATACGTGCTTCCCGTCGCGTGTACGATGGAATACGGTGAATCGCTTGGAATAGGAGTAGCGTGCATTTAGTATCAAACCGCTATTTCAAGCGCACTTCCAATGGCGTAGCTATATAACTCATAAAATTCATTGGCATAAAATTATTTTTAAAATGACATTTATTTTCATATTTTACTCACTTAAATGATCTATTAAATTCTAGTGTTTTTGTTATCTTATCTTTGTTTTATGCTTACTGTAATATCATTATCACTTTGTTCGTATCTTACTTATCTTTTTCCGGTATAAAGTTTTTAATCTTTCTTTCTTCTTTCAAATTCTGTTCTGTCATAATTTTATATTAAAATATAATAATACATTAATATTAAATTTATTAATATTAATATTAAATGATATTAAAATCTTTAGTATATTAAAAATATAAATAATATTTAATACAATTGTTTATTTTTTCTTAATAATTTGTAAATAAGTATAAAAAAATGAATCTTAA